GGAAGCCTGCACAGCACAGACACAGCACAGACACAGCACAGACACAGCACAGACACAGACACAGCACAGACACAGCCACAGACACAGTACAGACACAGCACAGACACAGACACAGCACAGCACAGACATAGCCACAGCACAGACACAGCACAGACACAGCACAGACACAACACAGACACAGCACAGACACAGACACAGCACAGACACAGCACAGACACAGACACGGTACAGACACAGACATAGTACAGATACAGACACAGCACAGACACAGCACAGACACAGACACAGCACAGACACAGCACACACACAGCACAGACACAGCACAGACACAGCACAGCACAGACATAGCCACAGCACAGACACAGCACAGACACAGACACAGCACAGACACAGCACAGACACAGCACAGACACAGCACAGACACAGTACAGACACAGCACAGACACAGCACAGACACAGACACAGCACAGACACAGACACAGCACAGACACAGCACAGACACAGCACAGACACAGCACAGACACAGCACAGACACAGCACAGACACACACAGCACAGTACAGACACAGACACAGCACAGACACAGCACAGACACAGCACAGACACAGCACAGACACAGACACAGCACAGACACGGTACAGACACAGCACAGACACAGACACAGCACAGACACAGCACAGACACAGACACAGCACAGACACAGCACAGACACAGAAACAGCACAGACACAGTACAGACACACACAGCACAGACACAGCACAGACACAGCACAGCACAGACACAGCACAGACACAGACACAGCACAGATGCAGACACAGCACAGACACAGCACAGACACAGACACAGCACAGACACGGTACAGACAGAGCACAGACACAGCACAGATACAGACACAGACACAGCACAGACACAACACAGACACAGACACAGCACAGACACAGCACAGAAACAGCACAGCACAGACACAGCACAGACACAGACACAGCACAGCACAGACACAGCACAGCACAGACACAGACACAGCACAGACACAGCACAGACACAGACACAGCACAGACACAGACACAGCATAGACACAGACACAGCACAGACACAGCACAGACACACACACAGCACAGACACAGCACAGACACAGCACAGACACAGACACAGCACAGACACAGCACAGACACAGACACAGCACAGACACAGCACAGACACAGCACAGCACAGACACACAGCACAGCACAGACACAGACACAGCACAGACACAGACACAGCACAGACACAGACACACACACAGCACAGACACAGCACAGACACAGCACAGACACACACACAGCACAGACACAGCACAGACACAGACACAGCACAGACACAGCACAGCACAGACACAGCACAGACACAGCACAGACACACACACAGCACAGCACAGACACAGCACAGACACAGACACAGCACAGACACAGCACAGCACAGACACAGACACAGCACAGACACAGACACAGCACAGACACAGCACAGACACAGCACAGCACAGACACAGACACAGCACAGACACAGCACAGACACAGACACAGCACAGACACAGCACAGACACAGACACACACAGCACAGACACAGCACAGACACAGCACAGACACAGACACAGCACAGACACAGCATAGACACAGACACAGCACAGACACAGACACAGCACAGACACAGACACAGCACAGACACAGACACAGCACAGACACAGCACAGACACAGCACAGCACAGACACAGCACAGACACAGCACAGACACAGACACAGCACAGACACAGCACAGACACAGACACACACAGCACAGACACAGCACAGACACAGACAGAGCACAGACACAGCACAGACACAGACACAGCACAGACACAGCACAGACACACACACAGCACAGACGCAGACACAGCACAGACGCAGACACAGCACAGACACAGCACAGACACAGACACAGCACAGACACAGACACAGCACAGACACACACACAGCACAGACACACACACAGCACAGACACAGACACAGCACAGACACAGACACAGCACAGACACACACACAGCACAGACACAGCACAGACACAGACACAGCACAGACACAGACACAGCACAGACACAGCACAGACACAGACACAGCACAGACACAGCACAGACACAGACACAGCACAGACACAGACACAGCACAGACACAGCACAGACACAGCACAGAAACAGACACAGACACAGCACAGACACAGCACAGACACAGCACAGACACAGCACAGACACAGACACAGCACAGACACAGACAGCACAGACACAGCACAGACACAGCACACACACAGCACAGACACAGCACAGCACAGACACAGCACAGACACGGCACAGACACAGAGACAGCACAGACACGGCACACACACAGCACAGACACAGCACAGCACAGACACAGCACAGACACAGACACAGCACAGACACAGACACAGCACAGACACAGCACAGACACAGACACAGCACAGACACAGCACAGACACAGCACAGACACAGCACAGCACAGACACAGCACACACACAGCACAGACACAGCACAGCACAGACACAGCACAGACACAGCACAGACACAGACACAGCACAGACACAGCACAGACACAGACACAGCACAGACACAGCACAGCACAGACACAACACAGACACAACACAGACACAGCACAGACACAGACACAGCACAGACACAGCACAGACACAGCACAGCAAAGACACAGCACAGACACAGCACAGACACAGCACAGACACAGCACAGACACAGCACAGACACAGCACAGCACAGACAGCACAGACACAGACACAGCACAGACACAGCACAGCACAGACAGCACAGCACAGCACAGACAGCACAGACACAGACACAGCACAGACACAGACACAGCACAGACACAGCACAGACACAGCACAGACACAGCACAGACACAGACACAGCACAGACACAGCACAGACACAGCACAGACACAGACACAGCACAGACACAGACACAGCACAGACACAGCACAGACACAGACACAGCACAGATACAGACACAGCATAGACACAGACACAGCACAGACACAGACACAGCACAGACACAGACACAGCACAGACACAGCACAGACACAGACACAGCACAGACACAGTACAGACACAGCACAGACACAGACACAGCACAGACACAGCACAGACACAGCACAGACACAGCACAGACACAGACACAGCACAGACACAGCACAGACACAGCACAGACACAGTACAGACACAGCACAGACACAGACACAGCACAGACACAGCACAGACAGCACAGACACAGTTACTCAGGTCTGACGTGTCGTAGGTGAACCCACCCTGCCACCCACCCACCCTGCCACCCACCCTGCCACCCACCCACACAGCCACCCTGCCACCCACCCACCCTGCCACCCACCCACCCACCCACACAGCCACCCACCCACCCCGCCACCCACCCACCCACCCTGCCACCCACCCACCCTGCCACCCACCCACCCACCCACACAGCCACCCACCCACCCCGCCACCCACCAACCCACCCTGCCACCCACCCACCCTGCCACCCACCCACCCTGCCACCCACCCTGCCACCCACCCTGCCACCCACCCACCCACCCACCCTGCCACCCACCCACCCACTCTGCCACCCACCCACCCTGCCACCCACCCTACCACCCACCCACCCACCCACCCTGCCACCCACCCACCCACCCTGCCACCCACCCTGCCACACACCCACCCACCCACCTGCCCACTATCAGTGACGTAGATGATGACGTCGGCACGCTCCGTGTGGATGCGGTGTCTCAGTGCGGCCAGGTCTGACGTGTCGTAGGTGAAGCCACACAGCCACCCACCCACCCTGCCACCCACCCACCCTGCCACCCACACAGCCACCCACCCACCCTGCCACCCACCTGCCCACTATCAGTGACGTAGATGATGACGTCGGCACGCTCCGTGTGGATGCGGTGTCTGAGTGCGGCCAGGTCTGACGTGTCGTAGGTGAAGCCACACAGCCACCCACCCACACAGCCACCCACACAGCCACCCACCCACCCTGCCACCCACCTGCCCACTATCAGTGACGTAGATGATGACGTCGGCACGCTCCGTGTGGATGCGGTGTCTGAGTGCGGCCAGGTCTGACGTGTCGTAGGTGAAGCCACACAGCCACCCACACAGCCACCCACCCACCCTGCCACCCACCCACCCTGCCACCCACCCTGCCACCCACCCTGCCACCCACCCACCCACCCTGCCACCCACCCACCCACTCTGCCACCCACCCTGCCACCCACCCTACCACCCACCCACCCACCCACCCTGCCACCCACCCACCCACCCTGCCACACACCCACCCACCCACCTGCCCACTATCAGTGACGTAGATGATGACGTCAGCACGCTCCGTGTGGATGCGGTGTCTCAGTGCGGCCAGGTCTGACGTGTCGTAGGTGAAGCCACACAGCCACCCACCCACCCTGCCACCCACCCACCCACCCACACAGCCACCCACCCACCCTGCCACCCACCCACCCTGCCACCCACCCTGCCACCCACCTGCCCACTATCAGTGACGTAGATGATGACGTCGGCACGCTCCGTGTGGATGCGGTGTCTCAGTGCGGCCAGGTCTGACGTGTCGTAGGTGAAGCCACACAGCCACCCACCCACCCTGCCACCCACCCACCCACCCACACAGCCACCCACCCACCCTGCCACCCACCCACCCTGCCACCCACCCTGCCACCCACCTGCCCACTATCAGTGACGTAGATGATGACGTCGGCACGCTCCGTGTGGATGCGGTGTCTCAGTGCGGCCAGGTCTGACGTGTCGTAGGTGAAGCCACACAGCCACCCACCCACCCTGCCACCCACCCACCCTGCCACCCATACAGCCACCCACCCACACAGCCACCCACCCACACACCCACCCTGCCACCCACCCACCCTGCCACCCACACAGCCACCCACCCACCCACCCACCTGCCCACTATCAGTGACGTAGATGATGACGTCGGCACGCTCCGTGTGGATGCGGTGTCTAGTGCGGCCAGGTCTGACGTGTCGTAGGTGAAGCCACACAGCCACCCACCCACCCTGCCACCCACCCACCCTGCCACCCACCCACCCTGCCACCCACCCACCCTGCCACCCACACAGCCACCCACCCACCCTGCCACCCACCTGCCCACTATCAGTGACGTAGATGATGACGTCGGCACGCTCCGTGTGGATGCGGTGTCTCAGTGCGGCCAGGTCTGACGTGTCGTAGGTGAAGCCGCCGTCCGACTTGACCACGGTGAGGGGCACGGCGCAGCCCGGCGCAAACAGCACCAGGCGGCCCTCGTCCTCCTGCAGCAGCCCTGCCACCGTCACAATCACCACCACAATCACCACAATCATTACCACAATCACCACCACAATCACCACAATCATTACCACAATCACCACCACCGCCACAATCACCACCACCGTCACAATCACCACCACCACCGTCACAATCACCACCACAATCATTACCACAATCACCACCACAATCATTACCACAATCACCACCACCGTCACAATCACCACCACAATCACCACAATCATTACCACAATCACCACCACAATCACCACAATCATTACCACAATCACCACCACCGCCACAATCACCACCACCGTCACAATCACCACCACCACCGTCACAATCACCACCACAATCATTACCACAATCACCACCACAATCATTACCACAATCACCACCACCGTCACAATCACCACCACAATCACCACAATCATTACCACAATCACCACCACAATCACCACAATCATTACCACAATCACCACCACCGCCACAATCACCACCACCGTCACAATCACCACCACCACCGTCACAATCACCACCACAATCATTACCACAATCACCACCACAATCATTACCACAATCACCACCACCGTCACAATCACCACCACAATCACCACAATCATTACCACAATCACCACCACCGCCACAATCACCACCACCGTCACAATCACCACCACCACCGTCACAATCACCACCACAATCATTACCACAATCACCACCACAATCATTACCACAATCACCACCACCGTCACAATCACCACCACAATCACCACAATCATTACCACAATCACCACCACAATCACCACAATCATTACCACAATCACCACCACCGCCACAATCACCACCACCGTCACAATCACCACCACCACCGTCACAATCACCACCACAATCATTACCACAATCACCACCACAATCATTACCACAATCACCACCACCGTCACAATCACCACCACAATCACCACAATCATTACCACAATCATTACCACAATCACCACCACCGTCACAATCACCACCACCGTCACAATCACCACCACCGTCACAATCACCACTACTACCGTCACAATCACCACCACAATCATTACCACAATCACCACCACTACCGTCACAATCACCACCGTCACAATCACAACCACAATCATTACCACAATCATTACCACCACCGTCACAATCACCACCACAATCAATACCACAATCACCACCACCACCGTCACAATCACCACCACCGTCACAATCACCACCACCACCGTCACAATCACCACCACCACCGTCACAATCACCACCATAATCATTACCACAATCACCACCACCATCACAATCACCACAATCATTGCCACAATCACCACCAAAATCACAATCACCAAAACCACCGTCTCAATCACCACCACAATCATTACCACCGTCACAATCACCACCACCACCGTCACAATCACCACAATCATTACCACAATCACCACCACCACCGTCACAATCACCACCACCACCGTCACAATCACCAGAAGCATTACCACAATCACCACCACCGTCACAATCACCACCACCACCGTCACAATCACCACCACAATCATTACCACAATCACCACCACCGTCACAATCACCACCACAATAATTACCACAATCACCACCACCGTCACAATCACCACCGTCACAATCACCACCACCGTCACAATCATTACCACCACTGTCACAATCACCACAATCATTACCACAATCACCACCACCATCACAATCACCAACACAATCATTACCACAATCACCACCACCGTCACAATCACCACAATCATTAGCACAATCATTACTACCACCGTCACAATCACCACCACCTTCACAATCACCACCACCACCGTCACAATCATTACCACCACCGTCACAATCACCACAATCATTACCACAATCACCACCACCGTCACAATCATTACCACCACCGTCACAATCACCACAATCATTACCACCGTCACCACCACCACAATCATTACCACCACCACCGTCACCACCACCACAGCCGCCATCATCACCACCACCACCACCACCACCACAATCACCACCACCGTCACCACCACAATTACCACCACCGTCACAATCACCACCACAATCACCACAATCATTACCACCACCACCGCCATCATCACCACCACCACTGTCACAATCACCACCACCGTCACAATCACCACAACCATTACCACCACCACCGTCACAATCACCACAATCATTAGCACCACCGTCACAATCACCACCACCGTCACAATCACCACAATCATTACCACAATCATTACCACCACCGTCACAATCACCACCACCGTCACAATCACCACAATCATTACCACCACCGTCACAATCACATCCACCACCATCACAATCACCACAATCATTACCACCACCGTCACAATCACCACCACCACCGTCACCACCACCACCGCCGCCATCATCACCACCACCACCACCACCACCGTCACCACCACCACAATCACCACAATCTTTACCACCACCACTGTCACCACCACCGTCACAATCACCACCACAATCACCACCACCACAATCACCACCACTATCACCATCACCACTATCATTACCACCACCGTCACCACCACAATCACTGCCACCATCGTCACCACCACAATCACCACCACCACCGTCACAATCACCACCACCGTCACAATCACCACCACCACCGTCACAATCACCACCATAATCATTACCACAATCACCACCACCGTCACAATCACCACAATCATTGCCACAATCACCACCACTGTCACAATCACCAAAACCACCGTCTCAATCACCACCACAATCATTACCACCGTCACAATCACCACCACCACCGTCACAATCACCACAATCATTACCACAATCATTACCACCACCGTCACTATCACCACCACCGTCACAATCACCACAATCATTACCACAATCACCACCACCACCGTCACAATCACCACCACCACCGTCACAATCACCAGAAGCATTACCACAATCACCACCACCGTCACAATCACCACCACCACCGTCACAATCACCACCACAATCATTACCACAATCACCACCACCGTCACAATCACCACCACAATAATTACCACAATCACCACCACCGTCACAATCACCACCGTCACAATCACCACCACCATCACAATCATTACCACCACTGTCACAATCACCACAATCATTACCACAATCACCACCACCGTCACAATCACCAACACAATCATTACCACAATCACAATCACCACCACCGTCACAATCACCACAATCATTAGCACAATCATTACTACCACCGTCACAATCACCACCACCACCTTCACAATCACCACCACCACCGTCACAATCATTACCACCACCGTCACAATCACCACAATCATTACCACAATCACCACCACCGTCACAATCATTACCACCAGTCACAATCACCACAATCATTACCACCGTCACCACCACCACAATCATTACCACCACCACCGTCACCACCACCACAGCCGCCATCATCACCACCACCACAATCACCACCACCGTCACCACCACAATTACCACCACCGTCACAATCACCACCACAATCACCACAATCATTACCACCACCACCGCCATCATCACCACCACCACTTTCACAATCACCACCACCGTCACAATCACCACAATCATTACCACCACCACCGTCACAATCACCACAATCATTAGCACCACCGTCACAATCACCACCACCGTCACAATCATCACAATCATTACCACAATCATTACCACCACCGTCACAATCACCACCACCGTCACAATCACCACAATCATTACCACCACCGTCACAATCACATCCACCACCGTCACAATCACCACAATCATTACCACCACCGTCACAATCACCACCACCACCGTCACCACCACCACCGCCGCCATCATCACCACCACCACCACCACCGTCACCACCACCACAATCACCTCAATCATTACCACCACCACCGTCACCACCGCCGCCATCACCACCACCACCACCGCCGCCGCCATCATCACCACCACCACCACAATCACCACAATCTTTACCACCACCACTGTCACCACCACCATCACAATCACCACCACAATCACCACCACCACCACAATCACCACCACTATCACCATCACCACTATCATTACCACCACCGTCACCACCACAATCACTGCCACCATCGTCACCACCGCAATCACCACCACTATCAACACCACCACAATCACCACCACCACCACTGCTGCTACTGCTGCTACAGCTGCTGCTACTACAGCTGCTGTGAGCTGCTGCTGGTGTAGCTGCTGTAGCTGCTGCTGCTGCTGCTGGTGCTGCTGCTACAGCTGCTGCTGGTGCTGCTACTGCTGCTGCTAAAGCTGCTGCTGCTGGTGCTGCTACTACAGCTGCTTACCTTTCTGTTTGAGCTCCTCCACCACGTCCTGCATGAGGCTCTGGTAGAACGACTCCCCCCGTTCCTCAAGTCGCACGCCCAGAGAGTCGTAGATCTTCTGGAACTCTGTGGCCCAGGGCGGGGAAGTATGGTCAAGGGGACAGACACACACACACAGAGAGACAAAGGTCCCCCGTGTAGCCTCCAACAGACTGTAGGGTCAAGTGCTGTGAGTAGCAGCGCCTGTGAACAGACAAAGATAAAGGTCCCTCGTGTAGCCTCCAACAGAGTGTAGGGGCAAGTGCTGTTAGTGAGTAGCAGCGCCTGTGAACAGACAAAGATAAAGGTCCCCCGTGTAGCCTCCAACAGACTGTAGGGGCAAGTGCTGTTAGTGAGTAGCAGCGCCTGTGAACACACAAAGATAAAGGTCCCCCGTGTAGCCTCCAACAGACTGTAGGGGCAAGTGCTGTTAGTGAGTAGCAGCGCCGATGAAGGCCGGCACGGCACACGAGGGGGTGGGTGGCCGCCACCACGCCCGGCCGCCTTTGTCTCCCCTGCGGTGATGATTTACACACCGCACCAGGGACTCATGTGAGGCCGAGTCGACCCAGGGGAGGCCCAGGACCAGTTCAGATAATCGTCACTGTTGGTGTTGGTGGCTGTGAGCGGGAATCGAACTCGGGTCACCAGGTTCGTAGCGCAGCGTAGCGCTGACAGCTACACTACCACTCCCCACACACAGACACACACACGCAGACACACACACACGCAGACACACACACACAGACACACACACAGACACACACACACACAGACACACACACAGACACACAAACACAGACACACACACAGACACACACACAGACACACACACAGACATACACAGACACACACACGTAGAAACACACACACACAGAGACAACAACAACCGCCATTCGCCACTAAGTGGCGGTGACGTCACCACGACGCTTGTGCCAAGCCATGTGCACCTTGAGGCCACGTGAAGTGTCGAAAGCCCGCTGGCAGGAGGTCACGGGGCAGACCCAGCAGATGCCACGGGTCGACTAAGATGACTGAGATGACTGGCTGATGCACCACCTGTGCCCCCTACTGTGCCAACCTGCTGTGCTTTAGCCACCCAGCGCTCCGCTCGTTGTTGTGAGCGTCGCACCTCCGCCCTCCGTTATTGTTGGAGGGCGACTGCCTCCAACTGCCCAGTAGCGTCCTTCACGAGCCTCCTCCACAGAGGCCGATCTTGACACCGCTGGTACCAGTCATCGGCAAATCCACTCAGCTCCACGTCCTCCTGTACCACATCACTCCATCTCTTCTCTAGCCGGTGCCAACCCCGTTTAGCCCCCTCGATCCGGCCGAACAAAAGCTGTTTCGGCATGCGGTGGCTGGGCATGCGGGCTACATGACCCAGCCAACGCAGCCTTGCCTGCCGGAGGAGCTCACCTATGGAACTTTCAAGGATTTGTGACACAATCCAGCCCGGTTAAAATCCAGGATGGATCATAGGCAGGCCAGCCTAAATGTTTCTAACCGGCGAAGATGTTCCATTAGGGGGGTCCACGTTTCGCAAGCATAAAGAAGGGAGGGAATGACCGTGGCTGAGAAGACCTGAAGCTTCGTGCGGAGCGACAGACCAGGTAGCTTCCACACAGCGTTACGCAACCGATGAAAAGATATTGCCGCTCGACTGATTCTGAGTGAGACCTCTGCTGTTAAACTGGAGCCGGTCATGAGCACACTGCCCAGTAATGAGAAACTCTCCACTCTCTCCACACACTGACGACACACACACACCGACTGCTAGACACACACACACACACTGACTGCTACACACACACACACACTGACTGCTAGACACACACACACACTGACTGCTAGACACACACACACACTGACTGCGAGACACACACACACACTGACTGCTACACACACACACACACTGACTGCTACACACACACACACAGGCTGCTAGACACACACACTCACACAGGCTGCTAGACACACACACACACTGACTGCTACACACACACACACACTGACTGCTAGACACACACACTGACTGCTAGACACACACACACACTGACTGCTACACACACACACACACACTGACTGCTACACATACTCACACACTCACACCCCACCTCGTCGTGAGATGTCACAGATGAGGCTCCAGCCCCGCAGGATGGCCTCTTCCTTGCTCTGCAGCCGCACGACGTACTCGTAGGCCCGGCTCCGGAACGACGGGTCCTCGTCAAAGCGCAGCTTCGACTCCTGCACGCACACGCACACGTACACACACACACACGTACACACACGTACACACACACACACGTACACACACATACACACACACACATACACACACACGTACACACATACACACACACGTACACACACGTACACGTACACACACGCACACACACGTACACGCACACGTACACACACACACGTACACACGTACACGCACACACGTACACGCACACACGTACACGCACACACGTACACGCACACACGTACACGCACACACGTACACGCACACACGTACACGCACACACGTACACGCACACACGTACACACACGTACACGCACACACGTACACGCACACACGTACACGCACACACGTACACGCACACACGTACACACGCACGCACACACGTACAAGCACACACACACGTACACACACACACGTACACGCACACACGTACACACACATACACACACACGTACACGTACGCACACACGTACACACACACACGTACACGCACACACGTACACGCACACACGTACACGCACACACGCACACACGTACACGCACACACGTACACACACACACACGCACACACACACACACGTACACGCACACACGCACACACACACACACGCACACACACACACACACGTACACACACACACGTACACGCACACGTACACACACATACACACACACACATACACACACGTACACACACGCACACACGTACACGCACACACGTACACGCACACACACACACACGTACACGCACACACGTACAAACACACACACGTACACGCACACACGTACACGCACACACGTACACGCACACACGTACACGCACACACGCACACACGTACACACACACACGTACACGCACACACGTACACGCACACACGTACACACACATACACGCACACATGTACACGCACACACGCACACGCACACACGCACACACGTACACGCACACACGACCACGCACACACGTACACGCACACACGTACACACATACACACACACATACACGCACACACGTACACGCGTACACGCACACACGTACAGAAACATACACATACACACATACACGCACACACGTACACGCACACACGTACACGCACACACGCACACACGTACACACACATACACGCACACACATACACGCACACACGTACACGCACACACGTACACGCACACACGTACACACACATACACGCACACACGTACACACACATACACGCACACACGTACACGCACACACATACACGCACACACGTACACGCACACACATACACGCACACACGTACACACGTACACACGTACACACACATACACGCACACACGTACACGCACACACGTACACGCACATACACACACGTACACACGTACACACACATACACACACCCACGTACACGCACACACGCACACACGTACACGCACACACGTACACGCACACACGTACACGCACACACATACACGCACACACGTACACGCACACACGCACCCACACACGCACACACGCACACACATACACGCACACACGTACACGCACACACGTACACGCACACACGTACACGCACACACATACACGCACACACGTACACGCACACACGCACCCACACACGTACACGCACACACGTACACGCACACACGTACACGCACACACGTACACGCACACACGTACACACACGTACACACACACACGTACACGCACACACGTACAAACACACACACGTACACGCACACACGTACACGCACACACGTACACGCACACACGTACACGCACACACGCACACACGTACACACACACACGTACACGCACACACGTACACGCACACACGTACACACACATACACGCACACATGTACACGCACACACGCACACACACACACGCACACACGTACACGCACACACGACCACGCACACACGTACACGCACACACGTACACACATACACACACACATACACGCACACACGTACACGCGTACACGCACACACGTACAGAAACATACACATACACACATACACGCACACACGTACACGCACACACGTACACGCACACACGCACACACGTACACACACATACACGCACACACATACACGCACACACGTACACGCACACACGTACACGCACACACGTACACACACATACACGCACACACGTACACACACATACACGCACACACGTACACGCACACACATACACGCACACACGTACACGCACACACATACACGCACACACGTACACACGTACACACACATACACGCACACACGTACACGCACACACGTACACGCACATACACACACACGTACACACGTACACACACATACACACACCCACGTACACGCACACACGCACACACGTACACGCACACACGTACACGCACACACGTACACGCACACACATACACGCACACACGTACACGCACACACGCACCCACACACGCACACACGCACACACATACACGCACACACGTACACGCACACACGTACACGCACACACGTACACGCACACACATACACGCACACACGTACACGCACACACGCACCCACACACGTACACGCACACACGTACACGCACACGCACCCACACACGTACACGCACACACGTACACGCACACACACGCACACACGTACACGCACACACGTACACGCACACACGTACACGCACACACGTACGTACACGCACACACGTACACGCACACACGTACACGCACACACACGTACACGCACACACGCACCCACACACGTACACGCACACACGTACACGCACACACGTACACGCACACACGTACACACACATACACACACACACGTACACACGCACACACGCACACACGTACACGCACACACGTACACGCACACACGTACACGCACACACACACGCACACACGTACACGCACACACGTACACGCACACACGTACACACACACGTACACGCACACACGTACACACACATACACACCCACACACGTACACGCACACACGTACACACGTACACGCACACACGTACACGCACACACGTACGCACACATACACACACACACGTACACACGTACACGCACACACGTACACACACGTACACGCACACACGTACACACACATACACACACACGTACACGCACACACGTACACGCACACACGTACACGCACACACGTACACGCACACACGTACACGCACACACGTACACACACATACACACACATGCACACGCACACACGTACACACACATACACACCCACACACGTACACGCACACACGTACACGCACACACGTACACACACATACACACACACACGTACACGCACACACGTACACACACACACACACGTCCGGCACCACGAGGAGGTAGGGGGTTCTTTTACCAGACCAGACCTACATCTCTGTTTTATTGACCTGGTCAAGGCCTCTGATACCATCAGTAGGCCTGGGCTCTGGGTTGTTCTTCGTGCTTTTGGAGTACCTGACCCTCTGCTCACGCTCATTAAGGACCTTCATGATGGCGAGCGGGCCCGGGTAAAACTACGTGGCCGGGAGTCAGAGCCATTCCCTGTACACCTTGGGGTGCGACAGGGATGTCCTCTGGCTCCCACATTATTTAACATCTATTTTGACCACGTAGTTCGTGAAGCCTTCAATAGCTGTACCGGGGGAATCTCCATTTGGTACAGATACAATGGGAGGCTGATCGATGCCCAGGTGCGGTCAAGGGATGGCTCCCCATTGCTCAACCACGTTATGTACGCTGATGATCTGGTAATAGCTGCTCACTCAGAGGAGGAGTTGGAGACGCTGCTGCTGAGACTGGAGCGTGCCACTAAGAGGTGGGGCCTTACCATCAGCCCCACCAAAACTAAGCACCTGCCTGGGTATTTTGTACCATCGGACACTCCACCCCCACAACTCCCAATCGGTGATGGGGCAGTTGTGGAGAGAGTGGAGAGTTTCCCATACCTGGGCAGTGTGCTTATGACCGGCTCCAGTTTAACAGCAGAGGTCTCACTCCGAATCAGTCGAGCGGCAATATCTTTTCATCGGTTGCGTAACGCTGTGTGGAAGCTACCTGGTCTGTCGCTCCGCACTAAGCTTCAGGTCTTCTCGGCCACGGTCATTCCCTCCCTTCTCTACGCTTGCGAAACGTGGATCCCCCTAATGGAGCATCTTCGCCGGTTGGAAACATTTAGGCTGGCCTGCCTACGATCCATCCTGGGTTTAACCAGGCTGGATTGTGTGAGGAGCCCACAAATCCTTGAAAGATCTGGGCAAGGTCCCATTGGTGAGCTCCTCCGGCGGGGAAGGCTGCGATGGCTGGGTCATGTAGCCCGCATGCCCAGCCACCGCATGCTGAAACAGCTTTTGTTCGGCCGGATTGAAGGGGATAAGCGGGCGCGGCACGGGCTAGAGAAGAGATGGAGTGATGTGGTACAGGAGGACGTGGAGCTGAGTGGACTTGCCGATGACTGGTACCAGCGGTGTCAAGATCGGCCTCTGTGGAGGAGGCTCGTGAAGGACGCTACTGGGCAGTTGGAGGCAGTCGCCCTCCAACAACAACGGAGGGCGGAGGAGCGACGCTCAGAACAACGAGCGGAGCGCCGGGTGGCTAAAGCACAGCAGGTTGCCACAGTAGGGGGCACAGGTGGTGCATCAGCCAGTCATCTCAGTCAGTCGACCCGTGGCACCTGGGTCTGCCCCGTGACCTCCTGCCAGCGGGCGTTCGACACTTCACGTGGCCTCAGGGTGCACATAGCCTGGCACAAGCGTCGTGGTGACGTCACCGCCACTTAGTGGCGAATGGCGTTTGTTGTTGTTGTATATGTGTGAATGTGTGTATGTATGTATGTGTGTATGTATGAATGTATGAGTGAATGTGTGTATGAGTGAGTGTGTGTATGTGTGTATGAGTGAGTGTGTGTATGAGTGAGTGTGTGTAGGAGTGAATGTGTGTATGAGTGAGTGTGTGTATGTGTGTATGAGTGAATGTGTGTATGAGTGAGTGTGTGTATGTGTGTATGAGTGTATGTGTGTATGTGTATGAGTGAATGTGTGTATGAGTGAGTGTGTGTATGTGTGTATGTGTGTATGAGTGAATGTGTGTATGAGTGAGTGTGTGTATGTGTGTATGAGTGAATGTGTGTATGAGTGAATGTGTGTATGAGTGAGTGTGTGTATGGGTGTATGTATGAATGTGTGTATGAGTGAGTGAGTGAGTGTATGAGTGAGTGTGTGTATGAGTGAGTGTGTGTATGAGTGTGTGTATGTGTGTATGAGTGAATGTGTGTATGAGTGTGTGTATGAGTGAGTGTGTGTATGTGTGTATGAGTGAATGTGTGTATGAGTGAGTGTGTGTATGTGTGTATGAGTGAATGTGTGTATGAGTGAGTGTGTGTATGTGTGTATGTGTCACCTTATAGAATGCCTGCAGGTCAGCTATGGGTGGAGGTTGCTCCGTGTAGTTGGGGAAGCGGTCCACCAGGTGAGCAATCAGCATCCCAAACTGGGTGCCCCAATCGCCAATGTGGTTCAGCCTGCAGGGTGACACGTGGGGTGAGTGTGGGGTGAGTGTGGGGTGAGTGTGGGGTGAGTGTGGGGTGAGCGTGGGGTGAGTGTGGGGTGAGTGTGGGGTGAGTGTGGGGTGGGGGTGGGGTGAGCGTGGGGTGGGGGTGGGGAGAGCGTGGGGGGAGCGTGGGGTGGGGGTGGGGTGAGCGTGGGGTGAGCGTGGGGTGAGCGTGGGGTGAGCGTGGGGTGAGCGTGGGGAGAGCGTGGGGTGAACGTGTGTGAGTGTGTGTGTGGGTGAGTGTGTGTGTGGGTGAGTGTGTGGGTGAGTGTGTGTGTGGGTGAGTGTGTGGGTGAGTGTGTGTGGGTGAGTGTGTGTGTGAGTGTGTGGGTGAGTGTGTGTGTGGGTGACTGTGTGGGTGAGTGTGTGTGTGGGTGAGTGTGTGGGTGAGTGTGTGTGTGGGTGACTGTGTGGGTGAGTGTGTGTGTGGGTGAGTGTGTGGGTGAGTGTGTGGGTGAGTGTGTGTGTGGGTGAGTGTGTGGGTGAGTGGGTGAGCGTGGGGTGAACGTGGGGTGAGCGTGGGGTGAGTGTGTGTGTGAGTGTGTGGGTGAGTGTGTGTGTGGGTGAGTGTGTGTGTGGGTGAGTGTGTGTGTGAGCGTGTGGGTGAGTGTGTGGGTGAGTGTGTGTGTGTGTGTGTGGGTGAGTGTGTGTGTGGGTGTGTGTGTGGGTGTGGGTGAGTGTGTGGGTGAGTGTGTGGGTGAGCGTAGGGTGAACGTGTGTGTGGGTCAGTGTGTGTGTGGGTGAGTGTGTGGGTAAGTGTGTGTGTGTGGGTGAGTTTGTGTGGGTGAGTGTGTGGGTGAGTGTGTGTGTGGGTGAGTGTGTGGGTGAGTGAGCGTATGGGTGAATGTGTGGGTGAGTGTGTGGGTGAGTGTGTGGATGAGTGTGTGTGTGTGGGTGAGTGTGTGGGTGAGCGTGTGTGTGAGCGTGTGGGTGAGCGTGTGGGTGAGTGTGTGGGTGAGTGTGTGTGTGAGTGAGTGTGTGAGCGTGTGGGTGAGCGTGTGGGTGAGTGAGTGGGTGAGTGAGTGGGTGAGTGTGTGGGTCAGTGTGTGGGTGAGTGGGTGAGTGTGTGTGTGAGTGTGTGAGCGTGTGGGTGAGTGTGTGGGTGAGTGTGTGGGTGAGTGTGTGGGTGAGTGTGTGGGTGAGCGTGTGTGTGAGCGTGTGGGTGAGCGTGTGGGTGAGTGTGTGGGTGAGTGTGTGGGTGAGTGTGTGGGTGAGTGAGTGGGTGAGTGTGTGGGTGAGTGAGTGGGTGAGTGAGTGGGTGAGTGTGTGAGTGTGTGGGTGAGTGAGTGTGTGGGTGAGCGTGTGTGTGAGTGTGTGTGTGAGTGTGTGGGTGAGTGTGTGGGTGAGTGTGTGGGTGAGCGTGTGGGTGAGTGTATGGGTGAGTGTGTGTGTGAGTGTGTGGGTGAGCGTGTGTGTGAGTGTGTGGGTGAGCGTGTGGGTGAGTGTGTGGGTGAGTGTGTGAGTGAGTGTGTGGGTGAGTGAGTGTGTGAGTGTGTGGGTGAGTGTGTGTGTGAGTGTGTGTGTGGGTGGGTGTGTGGGTGAGCGTGTGGGTGAGTGAGTGTGTAGGTGAGTGTGTGGGTGAGTGTGTGGGTGAGTGAGTGTGTGAGTGTGTGGGTGAGTGACTGTGTGGGTGAGCGTGTGGGTGAGTGTGTGGGTGAGTGTGTGGTTGAGTGTGTGGTTGAGTGTGTGGGTGAGTGTGTGTGTGTGTGTGGGTGAGTGTGTGAGCGTGTGGGTGAGTGTGTGGGTGAGCGTGTGGGTGAGCGTGTGGGTGAGCGTGTGGGTGAGCGTGTGGGTGAGTGTGTGTGTGAGTGTGTGTGTGAGTGTGTGTGTGAGTGTGTGTGAGTGAGTGTGTGTGAGTGTGTGTGTGTGAGTGTGTGTGTGTGAGTGTGTGTGAGTGTGTGTGTGTGTGAGTGTGTGTGAGTGTGTGTGTGAGTGTGTAGGTGAGTGTGTGTGTGTGAGTGAGTGTGTGTGTGTGAGTGTGTGTGTGAGTGTGTGTGTGTGTGAGTGTGTGTGAGTGTGTGTGTGTGAGTGTGTGTGAGTGTGTGTGTGAGTGTGTAGGTGAGTGTGTGTGTGTGAGTGAGTGTGTGTGTGTGAGTGTGTGTGTGAGTGTGTGTGTGTGTGAGTGTGTGTGTGTGAGTGTGTGTGTGTGAGTGTGTGTGTGCGCGTGTGTGTGTGTGTGTGAGTGTGTGTGTGTGAGTGTGTGTGAGTGTGTGTGAGTGTGTGAGTGTGTGTGAGTGTGTGTGTGAGTGTGTGTGTGAGAGTGTGTGTGAGTGTGTGTGTGAGTGTGTGTGAGTGTGTGTGTGTGAGTGTGTGGGTGAGTGTGTGTGTGAGTGAGTGAGTGTGTGTGTGAGTGTGTGAGTGTGTGTGTGAGTGTGTGTGAGTGTGTGAGTGAGTGAGTGAGTGTGTGTGTGAGTGTGTGAGTGTGTGTGTGAGTGTGTGTGAGTGTGTGTGTGAGTGTGTGTGTGTGTGAGTGTGTGTGAGTGTGTGTGAGTGTGTGAGTGAGTGTGTGAGTGTGTGTGTGTGAGTGTGTGGGTGAGTGTGTGTGAGTGTGTGAGTGAGTGAGTGTGTGTGTGAGTGTGTGTGTGAGAGTGTGTGTGTGAGTGTGTGAGTGTGTGTGTGAGTGTGTGAGTGTGTGTGTGTGTCCGGCAAAACAACCCCCTACCTCCTCGCGGTGCCGGACGGGCAACTCTGTCGTGGACAGCGCTGTGGGGGGAGATCCAATTTTGATTGGCTCCTCCCCTCATGGCATATGTGTCCACCACAGGGGCTAAACGGGGGCTCTGGACGGGTGCGAGGGGCTGGTAACCCCTCCACCTTCAATTAATTACCACGAAACTACGAATTAAACTGAAATATGTAACAACTAAGCTTGTGCCGGAGGCCCCGGGGGGCCAGGCGTCTATGACGTCTCCTGGCCAAACCCCAATTGGCGGAGCCAGGAGATTGAATACCTACCCTCGGGGCTACTCCAGAAACAACGAAAAGCCACTACGGTTGGCCACGTGGAATGTTCGAACGCTCACTGCAGAGGAGAGGCTGCCACTCCTCTGTCGGGAGCTGGACCGGTACCGCCTGGATCTATGCGGCATTCAGGAGGTCCGGTGGACCGGCTCTGGCTCCTGCCACCATGAGGGGTGGACAGTCCTCTACTCGGGGCAGCAGACTGCCAAACAACAGGGTGTGGGTCTTCTTTTGAACAAAAGAATGAAGGGGGCGTGGGAGCGTGGCGGTGAGGTGTGGGAAGCTGTAAGCCCCAGGCTACTTTGGGCTCGCCTTCCCATCAACCGGAGGCGAGGAATGGTGGTCGTGGTTACTTATGCCCCCACCGAAGATGAACATCCGTGGAGGGATGCAGGCAAAGCCGATGAGTCAGATGCCTTCTATGACCTCCTGTCACAGGTGCTGGCTAAATAGGCCCCTCGGAATAGAGTCATCATGTTGGGTGACTTCGATGCCCGAGTTGGTCATGATACTGGCACCGGGTCTCGAGTGTTTGGAGGGCATGGGCCAGATCAGCTCAATAACAACGGTAGGAGGCTGCTAGATTTTTGTGCAGCCCATGGGCTTGTAATTACCAACACGCTGTTCCGGCATCGGCGCATCCACACAACATCATGGATGCATGCCGGGTCCAAGCAAGAACATCTGCTGGACTACATAGTGACGGACCAGCGAATGCGAGCCCATGTCCTTGACACCAGGACCTACCGTGGAGCTGATCTGCCCTCTGACCATCGACTAGTCATCTGTAAGATGCGCCTGCCATTCTTCCACTCCGGTGGTGGGTGTACACCCAGGACCCCATTCCAACCTAAAGTGGCCTGGTCTCAGTTATCTGATGAAAGTTGCAAGCGAGAATTTCATCATCGCTTGCGGCTGGGATTGGCATCGTCCCCGACTCCTCCTGATGTCGAGGGTAAATGGGCGAGGTTTAGGACTGTGATTCATGCAGCTGCAATGGCTGCTTTGGGTACGCGGTCCAGACCTCCCCAGACACCCTGGATGACAGAGGAGTTGTTCACGATGGTTGAGAAAAAGCGACAGGCCCACTGTCATCGGCTACAGAATCCCACGTCAGAGAATGAGGAGGCTTACCGCAGCCTTCGCTCGGAGGTTCGGAGAGCCGTGAGGCGCTGCAAGGATGGGTGGTGGTCGCGGGTTGCTGAGGAGATCGAGTCTGCCTCAGTGGCCCGTGATCACAAATCTCTATTTAACTCCATCAAAAAAGTAACCTGCAGCGCCACACCTATTACCATCATTAGGGGAAAAAACGGTGATCCAATTTCCGACCCCCAGGAACAGGTTCGCAGATTTGCTGAGCATTTCTGTGAGGTCCTGGGGGAGGGAAAATCCCTCAGCCAGGAAAACATCGTGGCACAAAGTGAGGATGACCCTGCTGAGGCTGCGGTGCCTCAAATATTGGATGAAGTCACCCCCTGTGAGTGGCTGGCTGAGGTGCCAGCTGCTGATGAAGTATTGAAGGCGATCCGGAGTCTGAGACCAGGAAAGGCAGCGGGCAGAGATGATCTCCCAAGCGAAATGCTGAGGGAGGGTGGCGTTTGTGCACAGACTGCCCTATATGACATCATAACAACAGTCTGGACCACTGGACGGGTTCCGCAGGATTGGAAGGATGTCCTGGTGGTCCCCCTTTTTAAGAAGGGGGACCGCACAGACTGTAACAACTACAGGGGCATCTCACTCCTCAGTGTGCCGGGAAAGGTCCTGGCAAGGATTATTCAGCATCGCCTTGCCAGGCACGCTGAGGAGAGGCTTGCGGAGCCCCAATGCGGTTTCAGGAAAGGGCGGTCCTGCACAGATGCCATATTTTCTGTCCGTCTGCTACAGCAGAGGTGTAGGGAATTCCAACAAGACCTACATCTCTGCTTTATTGACCTGGTCAAGGCCTATGATACCATCAGTAGGCCTGGGCTCTGGGTCGTTCTTCGTGCTTTTGGAGTACCTGACCCT